ATTAAAATTATTAAAATCTTACTTGCGGACCACCATGACTCAAGATAGGCTAAATGAATTAGCGATATTATGCATTGAAAAGGATATGTTAGAGAACATTAAATATGATAGTATAATTGATGATTTTGCATCTAAAAAGTGCAACAAGAAGATATTTTAAATGATGTTTTGTAGTTAAGATTTCATTGCTATTTTTATTTTGTAGGTACATGTGTTGATTCTATGCTTCGATTAATTGTGGAGGATGAAAAGAAGATTGATCAAATCAAGATATGCTTATGGAGATTTGGGAGGAAGCATGTAGACTCAAATATGTAGTTTTCGTTCTTAATGCAATGTTTACAATCCGGGGTACTCTTTTTTCCTTCGTTTGGAGTTTTGTCCCATTGAGTTTTCCCCAACCAAGGTTTTAATGAGGCCTCAAAAGTGTTTTCCTTGTCTTTTGTAAAATCTTATAATTTTAATAAAATTAATTAATTAATAATTTATTTATTTGTTTGATTTGTATAAATGAGCACATTTGAGAAAATTTGCCCTGAGTTTTAGAAAACCCAAGACCGGCTCTACACTCAATCTCGCAAGAGGATAATTTGAGGTTCATGTTATGCCTGCTTTTCTCTCCTTTGAATTCAAAAGAACATTATTAATGTTTCTTTCCTGCGAATTCAAAAAACATTATTAACGTTGTCTCTATTTTTCTCTCTTTTGAATTCAAAAATATTATTAACGTTTCTTCTTATACGTCCGAAAATACAAATGAACCCTAATTTCGTGACAGAGCTGTTTTTTTTTTGTGGGTTTTAGTTTGGGGGGTGGTTATAAAAACCATAGAAATGAGTTCAACATTGCACCATCATTTTATAAAGTGTACTGTATTTCAATTCTAGAGGACTCGAAATTCGCGCCCCCACTTCTCCATCCAGTAGGGCCCACCCACCATTGCCCCCGCTCCTTCTCCCGCCCTCGCCTCCTCCTCTCCGCGCATCTCTCTCTCTCTCTCTCTCTCTCTCTCGCTCTCTCAAAAACATTCTCTCCCCCTCGATCCTCGCGCTTCTCTTTAGTTTCTCTCTCCTCTCTCTCTCCTCCCTCCCTCCCTCTCTCTCTCTCTCTCTCTCTCTAAAAAAGAGAAATCAATTCAAAGCCAGATCTAGAGAGAGAAAGAAAACCTAACTCGGATGGAGCAGTAACAGCACTCAACTCCCCCTCGCCTCGCCTTTTATATACGACATCGATCTCGATCTCGATCTCGATCTCAGTTCAAACAAGTAGGAAAAGCGAAAGAAGAAGCAAGCAAGCTAGGGTTTCCATTGTTCTCCACGAGGTTAGCTCCTTTTTATCCTCTCCTATTTCCTTCTAAATTTGCCAAGATTTTGCTCAGAGAGCTGAGGATTTTGCTCAGAGGGTAGATGAGAATATGCTCTTGTTCTCTTTCCTCTTTCGCGCCCTTTTTTTCTTGGCCTGCAATGGCAGCAGAAGACAATACATGAGTAGTATAGGAGTCATTAATGCTAGTAGGCGAGCTGCATTCAAAGCCATAGCTTCCTCCTCTCTCTCTTGATGAGGAGAGAGAAAGCGCAAGATTTTCAACGGGGGGAGAGAGAGAGAGAGATAGAGTAAGGCGTGAAGCAAAAGGTTTTCTGCACTGCGATCGTTTAATAGCTACTCTCTCTCTCTCTCTCCAGATCTTCCTCATGATTGCGTCCTTTGCTCTCGTCGTTTTCCCCCAAAATCCTCCCCTTCTCTAGTTGCTTTCGTCTCTACCCGCGGTAACCATACCGCCTTCATCATGCTTCCCCGATCCGCACGAATTCTGAAGCGCCGATCGGGATCTCGAGATGAGACCTCCATTGCTCAGCTCGTTCCTCCATTATTTAAATTTTATAGAAAAATAGGTGAAGCTTTATATTTCGTGGCAATTCTTAAGAGTTTTCTTACAAAAAGATTATTGGAGTATTTTTTTTGTGTTCTATTTTAGCCCTGTGCTTTGGGAGCTTTTTATTTATTTATTTTAACATATTGTTTTCTCATCGCTGTTAGAGTTCAGCGCTGCGCAGGAAACAAGTGAAGTTCTATTACGTTGCAATTTTTTAAGATGTTTTTTTCGGGATTCTTTTGCATTTTTCTTAACATCACCGCGAGTGAGCGTAACGTCTCATTGCATAATTTGCGCTGGATGAGGGCGGGGATCTGTCACGTGACGCAGGCGGAGCTGAGCGCGTGCCCTTCGCCGCTCCCTTTCAGGCACGCTTGCGTGTTCGGCGTGGGCCAGGCCCATCAATTTTTAGTTTAGGGCCTCACTGGCTGGCTGTTACCTTTCTCTCTCGTCACTGTCCTTTTCGCAGTTATCCAAACTATAGTTAAAAAAAGTAACTTGAACTTTGAAAAGCTTTGCTGGTGACTTGGTATGCTATAATTATGAAATAGAGACAACTGTTGGAGGTAGCATGGTCGCAAATACTAAGAGGGTGTTTGCGTTAATACTATCTAAGGCCCAGTTCTAATCTCAAACTAGTTTTAATTTGAGCCGCAGGACGGCTGGTCCAAACTAAAACCAGTTTAGTGGCTCGAAATTAGGCTAGGTGTAGTCCTGATCCAGTTTTGAAAGGTTTTTAAACACACCCTAACTTTATGTATATCTCTTAGATATCTACTTTTTTGTTGTACTGAATACATTTCTCAATCGGAGTCGATATTTGATTTGTTGCGTAAGCTGTTATATTTATATCTTTTGTACGAAATGTATTTTCATTACAAATATAAAATATATATTTTATGGGTTTGAATCAACTGGCTTTTAGAGCTCTGCTACATGGACCCAAAATATGGGACCAATAGATGAGACAAGTGAGGTGTTCCCCTCCTATTGGATAATGAGTTGATCATCATTAATGATGACCAACTCATTATCCAATAGGAGAGGGACACCTCACTTGTCCCCTCTATTGGTCCCATATTTTGGGTCCCAGAAGAATTTTACTTTGTTTTATCCATTTAAAGCCTCAGTCTCGTAATTAATAACTTCCATTAGAGAAGGTTGCGTGCAGTCTAGGTAATGGCACTGTAATCTTGTCCAATGAAATTGACCACTATGCACTTGGATCAAGGGAATTACCCATTTTGGGCCCATTTGTGGTTAATTTATAATACTATTTTTTACCCACTTGCATAGTTTCTAGATATACGAGACATTCTCCTGGTTTGGTGCTATTAGGGCTTCGAGAGCATTGTCTGCCTTGTACCATTTCTAAATTAGTACTCATTTAATTGATTCATTGATAGATACTAAAGACAATGGAAGTAAATATAAAATTCTGCCCGCATGATGGGCAATTAGGCAGTCTAAACCTTATAGTAAGTATGGCTTCATTATAAATTATCATTGTGTCTATGCCGGTATGTTTGATCATATCCAGTGTGATTGAAGCTGGATATATCTGAAGATACAATAATCGAAAGTTGGAACTTTATGCAACTAAACTACAGGCTCTAATGGCATCGTCGTGTAAAGGGAATCACGAATTAGTTTTCTAGCTGTTAAGTTGTGATCGAGCCCCAAAAGTAGGATACGATCGTAATTGTTTTACGCTAAATTGAAGATGCACTTTAGCGAAACGATGATATAATTGACACGCGTATTTTTCTTGCAAAAAACCAAAACATATCACGGTCTTGGTAGTGATATTCATTGTTTAAGTGTCGAGAGTGTCTCGTAACTTTGCCATAAGAAATGCAAAGGATTTTATTACAGAAGTATCTTCATATTATTATTCGTGTCCTGCTCTTATTTGAGTGTAGTCCTTAGTAGGTGATATAAGTAAAAGTGGAAAACTTATTTATGAATTTTTTCGGATGAATTTGATAAATTTAATTTACTAAGATAAGACGTTAGTCGTGCTAAAAATAAATCACAATGATTAAATATTTTTAGACATTTATATTGAAGAAAAAAGAAATCTTAAAGAACCCCAATAATGGAAGATTGACCCGATTGCGCCAGACTCTGATGGATGGTATTTAATTTCTCTGCTGCAGCCTAAAAAGTACCCTCATAATATCAAATTCCTATTTTCCTCCCTTCCCTTTTTGCTGCATTTAATTTAAAAACTCTGCCACGCTGGGGATTAATGCCCATCCCCTCTTGTTTCCCACTCACGGGCCGTCGATCGCAGCCGGCAGCGCGCGCATGCAGCCCACCAACAACATCAGATTTTAGCTTCTTTTCATATCAGACTACCACAATTTTATATTTTCAAACTAGGCTCCGAAATTATTTTAAATGAGACCCTCAAATCTATGAACTTGTTACTGATATGATGTGAGGGAGTAATACAGAATTAACAAAGGTTTTAGGGTCTAATAAGATAGAACGCAACGTGTATGATACCAACAAAAGAACAAAGAGGATGCTCCAGCATTAAAAAAAAAAAAATCCTCACTTCTCCTCTTTGTCCTCTGGCCTTTAGGCCGCAACAACATTAAAACCCCCAACTGTTGCATCGAACCGAGGATCTAATGAACCCACCTCCCATTTTTATGCTAGAGCTTGTCCTTTTCGGCTCACTGTCAAAACAAATCTTTTGCTCGCGAACAGAGTTTGTGTAATCATGGTCTTGTGTTTGATTCTGCTCTCAGCCGTTACCAGCTGCAGCGTTTTTATGTTTCTTGGGCCTTGACCCATTTTAATTTTATACCCTCGGTTTGAACTTTGAACCCTCTGCAGGGTAAATGCGCCATGCTCGCAGTTGTAGAGAGAGAAAGAGCCTGTTTTGGTCCTCTGCCTTCAGCCAAGATGCCTCTGAGACAGCCCAAGGAGCCTAATGGAGAGAAGCATTTTGTGTCAAAGAAGAAGAAGCCTCTGCAGAACTCCAGCAATCAGCAGCAAAAGCTCGAGCCCGGGACTCCGCAGACTCTCAAGGAAGCTAAGAAGGGCTCTGGGAAGAGGAGAGGAAGGGGCCGAGGGAAGAACTCTGCGGCGGCGGCGGCCTCTGT